GAGGAGGGAGGGACGTGGAAGTGGATAATGACTCTGTCAGAGACCAGCAGGCATCTGGGAAATCACAAGGCTGGAGGTCATGACCCCTGAGAATTGAGAGCCATCACCGGCATTGTGAAATCCATCTTCCCCCTGGGAAGGAACAGCCACTGGGCAGGGGTTCCCATGGAGGATCCCATGTCTGATGAATGAGAATACACTGAGCTATAGAAAATGATGAGAACACACTGAGCTGTAGAAAATAAAAGAGAGTCATTTCCAAATACGGGCCAATGCGGGGGGCGCCTCAATGTCCACTTCCACATGACCAGCCCTAGGACACAGACCACACAAAGCCCGGGGACAGATGGCCGGGATCTGCGGCTGAAGTCACAGTTTGCACTGTTGTCCAAGCAGGGCTCTGTCCAGCTGCTTATTGGTCAAATATTTTCTGAGTGCTTATGCACCAGGGCTTGACACATGCTAGGGATGTTGTGGTAAATCAGGCAGATGGGACTGCCACTCCCAGGAGCTCACAGTGACAACACAACCCACGGCATGCCGAAACCGGTTTGGCTCAGTGGATAGAGCGTCGGCTTGAGGACTGGAAGGTCCCAGATTCGATTCCAGTCAAGGGCAAGTACATTGGTTGTGGGCACATTCCCAGTAGGTGTGCAAGAGGCAGCTGATCGATGATTCTCTCTCGTCGATGGTTCTAACTCTCTATCCCTCTCTCTTCCTCTCTTAAAAAATAAATAAAATATATTTATTTTTTTTTTTAAAAAATACAACCCATGGCTGTCGTAGAGACAGTGACTGGCCTTGCCTGCATCAGAGGAGCATGTGGAAAAGGCATTCCGGTGGTTGAGACATAGACTTCCAGGGAACTCATAGATCGTGTTATAGAGTGTAGACCCTCTCCTGAGAATAATGGGAAATCTTTCTATGGTTCTAAGTCAGGTTGGCTCACATATTTTGGAGTAAACGATGGTTTGGACTGTTGCGTGGAAATTGGGTGAGAGAGTAGTGTGTTTGGAGGTACCGGTAGTAAGCTCTGTGTAGAAGCCATTGCGATGAACCAGACCCGATATGATGATGCTGATCTCAACGAGGGAAGTGGCGGTAGCCAGAACTGGGTGGATCTGAGAGCTGTCAGGAGGAGGCGTCTCAGAACCTTCGGAGAGGCTGAGTGATGTCAAGGAGATGTGGTGGGAAAGGGAGAGAAGGAGTCATTCTCGACCAACTGACTGAAAGGTGGCACTGTGTGCTGAGACGGAACCCGCAGGAGGAGGACTCATTGAGAGCGGAAAGCCAAAGCGTGCGGTTGGGAATGTGTGGAGTCTGGGATGCCCAGGAGTGAGAGCGCAGATGGAGACCCAGGACTTACCAACACGTAAATCAGATAATCCTCACCTGGTGATGATGGAGGGAGAGGAGGGGGCTCCCTGGATCTCTGTAGGTAACACAGAACCCCTGAATCTCCTGAACTGTTTTCAAACATATGAGCTTCCTTTTTTTCTGGGAACAAAAATGGATGCAAGTTTGCTTTCACTTGCTGATAACTCAAAGGCAGTAAAGGACCACAGAGGAAGCCTGAGGGACAACCTGGATATGGGTGCCCAAGGAGAGTCACCTAGTCCGACCTTGCTGGGCCAGCACCCTCACAACAGCCCGGAAGAGAACACACAGGAGAAGAAGGTTCTGGAAACAGGGGAGAGAATCCAGCAGGGGAAAGGGAATGGTCTACGGAGTAAGATGCTCTTGAGGCAGGGAAAATATCCATTGGCTTTTCAACAAGGAGGTTGTGGATGATCTTTTTTTTAAAAATCCTCACCCAAGGATATGTTTGTTTTTTAAATTGATTTTTAGAGAGAGGAAGAAAGATAGGGGGAGGGGGGAGAGAAACATCAATCAGTTGTCTCCTGTTTGTGCCCCAATGGGTGATCAAACTGAAACATAAGCATGTGCCCTGACAGGGAATTAATCCTGAAACGTTTTGGCATATGGGACGATGCTCCAGCCAACTGAGCTACCCGGCCAGGGCTGTGGATGAACTTGGCAAGAGAAGCTATGGTAGCTGGAAAGAGCGAGATGAGAAGATGAGAACACAGAGACAGCCAGTGTAGGAAACTCAAGAAGAGAGAGGAAAATGTTGAAGAGGCAAATGGGAAAGACCAGGTGCAAAGTAGCTATTTCACCCGACACGCACACATTAAGATGGGAGAGATTTATGCCAATGAATAAAAATTTTAAAAGCACAGAGTCTTAAGCAACCATCCACCAAACTAAACACAGAGAAGCATTTAGGAAATCAGAAAGGTAGATAGCGGGGTGTCTAGAGGAGACAGAAAAGACCAGGGAGAGTCATGAATTGAGTTGAGACCAGAATGATTCATAAGCTTTTGGGCAGGTGAAGATGACCCACTAAACATTAATCTATTCTTCTTTCACCTCCTCTTGTTATTCAGAGACTATTTTCGCAGTGAATATGAAGTCTTTAGGATGGAAATTGCCTGCATCTCAGAAGTGACTGCATGTATGAAAGTATTAACAGTAACAAGATATATCAGCCAACGTATTATTATTGCATTCTTGGTCTTCACACATGAAACCAGCCTATTCTTTGCCGGGGGGATGGCAAGGGGGTGGGGGGCGGTCCCATTGTTCATTTCCTCATTTGGAATTTCTGACGCCAGAGAGGGTGCCAAGTCAGTGAATGTGGGTGCTTCTACCACGTAGGTCCCTAACATCTTCCATGTGTAAACACACCCATAACTAAAGGCGCTGATGCTGAAAGGAGAGAGCTCCCGTCAACAGGCAGCTTAGCACGAGCCGCCCCCTGCACGGAGAGGGTTGTTACTAGACCCCGCTCCTAACGGAACACTCTCTAGTTCTCTTCACTGAACCATGTTTCTCTTCTCTTTGTCAGAGATGGCGCTCATGTCCATTTCTGGAGGCTCTGTGTGTCTGTGTCTGTGTCTGTGTCTGTGTCTGTGTCTGTGTCTGTGTCTGTGTCTGTGTCTGTGTCTGTGTCTGTGTCTGTGTCTGTGTCTGTGTGGAATCGGGGTTGTTGGCATAGTGGCCTTAGAGCTCATCACCACCGATGGCTCTGCAGAGGGCAGGGTGTAGCTACAAATGCCACAAGCTGTAGGAGATCCCAGGGGAAGCTGAGGCTTATCCCCGGGGAACATGGATGCCCTGGGCTGTTAGGCAGAAGCGAGCCTGGCCGCTGCCAGGACTGGTGGGAGCCATCCCTTTGCTTCCCTGCCGTGAGTGTGGGTCAGCATTCCCAAGGCGTCATCCGCGCAGGCGCGCGCTCAGCTGTCGCTGACAGACGCCAGAGAAACCAGCAGCCCTTGCTGAGGAGCCTTCTTTTCCTCCCTAAGGAGGAGTCTTGCTTCTTTCCCCGACTCGTGCCAGCTGCCGCAGAGGACAGCGATGGAAAACACCATCGTATTTCTTTGTCTTTATGAAACTTGGTTTTCTTTCTGTGTTTTCATCCCGCATCCTAGAAGAGGCCAGACTAGTTTAAAAACACACACACAGTCCGGTCGGTGTTGCTCAATGGTTGGGTGTCGACCCATGAACCAAGAGGTCACTGGTTCGATTCCCGGTCAGAGCACAGGTCCAGGTTTCACGCTCGATCCCCAGTGGGAAGGAGAGGAAGGTGCAGGAGGCAGCCAATTGATGATGTTTCTCCCTCATCCATGTTGCTATATCTCTATCCCTCTCCCTCCCCCTCTTTCAAATCAATAAAAACATATTTAAAAATAAGAATACATGCACACAGAGAAACATTTTCAGGTTCTGACTGTGGCAGATCTTGGTTCTCACCTCCCCCCCCTCCCTATTTAGAGTGTCCTGGCTCTCCTTTGATGACACACTCCTTCCCGAATGACCTCCACTCAGGCCATTCCATCCACTGAGGCTTTAATGGAGAGGACGAGGCCCGTGACTGGGATGTGACAATTTATAGCCTGCTCCCTCCACACACATCAAGTTGGCCTTTGCAATTCTGCAGTCGAAGACGCTGGATGCGGGAATGGTTTCTGTGGAAAGTGCAGATTCTGCTGTGGCCTCTCATAGATCATAGCTCCACAGGAAGGCTCCGGAGGTGAGGCCCGGGCTAAGGACCCAAAGGCTTTGCTTTGCTAGGAGACAGAAGCATCTTTTCCCTGCACCAGGTGACCCAATTCTGACATTCCTTGGTGACTAGTGCATTGGCCGTGAGGGGGGCACCTGAGGGCTGGTTAGGGGTCTCGGTGAGAAAGGCTTCTGATGGGAGATGGGGACTGATATAGCCGCAGAGGCTCCATGAAATACCTCGGAATAGCACACTATCCTATGGCTATCTTTCTTCTTAAGCACATAAGAATTGCCCTTGCTGGTTTGGCTCAATGGATTAAGCATCAGCCTGCAGACTGAAAGGTCCCGGGTTTGATCCCGGTCAAGGGCTCATGCCCCGGTTTCGGGCTCTGAGGTGGTGCAGGAGGCAGCCGATCCATGATTCTCTGTCATCATGGATGTTTCTATCTCCCTCTCCCTTCCTCTTGAAATCAATAAAAAATATTTTTTAAACATAAAAATAAACAAAAAGCATTGTCCTCTGGTCTCAGGGAGAACAGAGCAGAGCATTAGTTCCAACCCATTGCAATTGTGTTGATGTGATGTTATCCCAGCAGAACCTCTCAGGTGTGGCCGTGGTGTGGATACCTGGCGGGGGTTAGTAAGGAGGGGAGGAACCCCTTGGTTTCGGAGCAGGATTGTCGCAGGGAGCTTCAGGCCCCAGAGAACAGACCCGGGCCCACTGGGATTAGCATTCCTCCCGGTGGGCTGTGTTAGAACCCCAGCCACTCCTTCCCTCCCTCCCACCCAGGGCACTCGCTGGAAAGATTCTGAGGGTGCAACTCCGCCTTTTCCCAGGTGGTACTGGAGCCACCACCCCGTGACACAGGTAGGCAAAGGCTCCATGACCGCCAGACCGGCCTCCCTGACCGTGACCTCTTGTCTCTCCCGCCCAGGTGCAAATGTAACCTCCACGCCACCGTGTGCGTGTACGACAACAGCAAGCTGGCCTGTGAGTGTGAGCACAACACAACGGGGCCCGACTGCGGGAAGTGCAAGAAGAACTACCAGGGCCGGCCATGGAGCCCGGGCTCCTACCTCCCCATCCCCAAGGGCACCGCCAACACCTGTGAGTAGCTCCTCCCACGCCGGGCCGGCTTCTGTGCGCGATGAGCCCGCCTGTTCCTCCCCATCGCACCCGGCCTCTTCCTCCGACTCCTCTTCCCAGCCGCCCATCCCTCTCCGAAATGCAGCTGAAGCCCCCAGTTCCCGTCTCAGCACTTTAAAGCCCATGTCAGCACAGGGACCCCATTCGCTTCCATCTGCCGGTGCTCCCATCACGTGGGCTGGGAGATGATGGCAATGTTTTTTCTCAGTGGGTGAAACAGGTGCTCTCTTCCCTCCCCCAGATTAGTTTCCTGTAAAACTAACAAAGACGTTAGAACTCTAACTCGACGTGAACCACCAACAACTTCCACCGGGAGAGTCTCTAAATAGTTGCAGTCCCACGTCTCACACCGGGTGGCCCGAGAGAGCTTTGTTCAGAAATGCTTCCCTCTCCAAGGTTAGCCGCAGCCTAACTTTGCCCAGTGAAAGAATGGGCTTGCTCCAAACCCCCGTGGTTGAGAATGTCACGTGGGGCCTGGGTCCTGTTAGCAGAGACGCCCTTTAGAACAGGGATGGGGAACACCCGGCCTGTGGGCCGTACGAGGCCGGTGAAATCCTTTGATCTGGCCCTGCCCAGGCAGTAGGGGTGAGTTAATGAAACGTTTGACCAAATAGAACAGGCTAAGTTTTTAAGGTGATGATTTTTGAATGGCCTGGGAATGATGAGATCAATATCCAAATGGCCCTTGGCAGCAAAAAGGTTCCGCACCCCTGGTTTAAGTAAAGAGAGTGACTGTAGGCATGCGAGGGCTACCATGAGAAAAGATACGTTTGTGTCCCCATGAAAAGAGGCATTACCTGTGCTTACAGGAAGTCCTGGGGGTGCCCCATGACCACTCTCATGTGCCCCCCATGAAACCACGCTGTGACACACTCAAGGAGAGAAGTCACCACTTCCAGATGATTCGCCCACTCCCGGGGATGAGCCCCTTAGCCACTGGCACAAGCCCACGCTGCCATCTTTCAGAAGCAGAGAAGGGTGAGGTTGAGCCTCCACCCACCCAGGCGAAAAGAAGCTATTAGAGCAGGGAAACTCGCAAAGCCACCTGCTCTGTGCAAAGCAGGGAATGTTACCAGGAGCATCCAAGCCACCACTGGAAGAAGCCAAAACCTAAAACCAGTGCCACCGGCCCCAGAGCCTTATCAAGGTACACGCAAGAGCAATGAGCCCAGTGACAAGCCATGGGGTGTGGGGGCAGGAGATGATGATGACATTTCTGTGAAGCAGAGGGAAAAAAATCGCTCAGTGTAAGGGGATTCGGCTTCTATCTGTGTTAAAGGGGAAAAATGACCATCCAGCTCCGGAAATTAATACACAAAGCCCTGTTGGGCAGAAATGTTGATTTTTTTTCGGGGAGATTTTATTAACTGGGCCTCTCCCGGGCTTTCCCGGATCACCGCGGGCCATCGCTCACGAATTCCGAAGGAACCCCGGAGGTTATTTATTCTGCTACCCAGTGGCCGGCTATCTGAGCATCGCCATCACCACGGTCGTCAAATTGAGTTTAAAAGTTCCCCACCGTGAAAATGGCTCCGATTTCATTCTCAGCATCTGCCGCATCTTTAGTGAGACAGGACGGGAGAAAGTCAAGTTCACCATCACTGGCTGGCATCCCCGCGGGCCCGTGGGGCAGGCCAATGTATCCAGGCCACCAGAGGGGCGGCTGGGCACACTGCCGTCCAAGGCGTTGGCTTCTACGCTAGCAAGACCCTGTTCTTCCACCTGGAACTGTGCTCCCACGTCTGTTTATTTCAAGACATTCTCACGGGGGAGACCTCCCTGTGCCAGCCACACCTTTCGTGGACATGAACATCAGGCCACTCCCTGACCCCAAGAATGCACCCTCCTCCAGGTGTCCTCGTCCATCGTCCATCCATCTCTTCCCTCTTCCTGTCCTTCCATAGACAGTGGGACTCTCCCCCGTCCCTGTAAAATAGGAAGGTGACAGGTGGGCGCGGTGGCCAAGGAGGTTGGAGCTAATGTTTCAATTCTCAGCATCAGGAAATGAGGTCCAAGACTCCAGAGCTTTCCTACGATGGTCCCATCTTGCCATGGGAACTTCCCACAATGGAAGCAACCCCTTACCTGGCATCAGTAGTGGAGCACGCACGACCTCCAGGATCCCATATCGCCCCATCCATTCACTAGCCATGTGACTGAGAAGAAGTCAAGGAACCTCTCCAACCCTCGGGCCCCCAGCTGTCCTGTGAGGATCACGGCAGCGCGTGTCCCCAGGCATTCTGGGAGAACAGAATGAGCTAGTGCAGCAGTGTGCAGGGCATGGCACCTGCCACCAACTAAGTATTCAAATCTAGTCCATCTTCAGGATTCTTTTCCCAGGCAGGCTTGTCCCATATTGGAGGACAGTATTACTTGTTATCAAACTTATTCCTTAACATCAATAGTGAGTGTCTCTGCATTTCCAACTGCCTTTTTTTTCTTCTTTTTAAATAGAGAAAGAATTACACTGGCCCCGGGTTCTTTTCCTACCGGGTCAGCATCAGTAACTCCTTTTTCAGATGTGCACGCCTCTTACCTGGTTGCTTGCCCAGGAATTCCCTCTCATTGTTTAGTGTGGGAATTTATAGTCAAGCACAGGACTTATAGCGCTGTTATGGTTTTCATTGTATACAGGCTTTTTCCTATGCATGTGCATACATGAGCTCATGGGCACGTGCATGTATAGTCCCTTCTCCCCCGCAACCCACCACACACACTCAGACCTGTGAGTCCATTTGGTGAATTGCAAGTCAGTTCTCGAAGAGAGACACTTGGATGTGCCACATCCCAATTCAAAAATGGAAAACCTAAGAAGTAAAGGGCTGTGGCTGTGGTCTCTGACCGCTCAGCATCCCCTCCTCCGTGACTTGGGAACGACACCCATGCTGGGTAATCCCTGGGTGTGTGCATCAAAATCTTTTCCTTATTTCTTCACAGAAATGGGTAGAAGTGACGTTTTATCAGTAAGATGTCTCTCTTCTTCTTCCTGTTGATCCTTGTGCTGTTTCTGAGGGAATCCCATTTTGAATGTTACTTCTGGCTTCTGAGTCCACAGCAATGCCGTCCAGATTCTCTTGATGCTCACTGATCAGCTCATGAGTAAAAGTATTAGGCCGTACCTCTTTCCGTTCTGATCCCTGCAGAATAAAACAAAATATTTTTCTACTTGGAGATGCTACAAACGTAATAATTGACCTTAGAAACTATCACTCCAGGAAGGATCTATAATAATAAAAGCATAATATGCTAATTAGACCAGACAGCCAAACAACCTTCCAGACAAAAATGGGGCTGCGAGGGCCAAGCCCTTTGTATAAATTTCGTGCATTGGGCCTCTAGTAATATAATATCACCAAACTGCTTTCCATACTATGTCCTATGACCCTTAAAAGAATTTAATGGCCAAGAAATTTTGAAAAATGCTGTCCACTCTCCTAACTCTTAGCTATTCACATTACCTTATTTAAAAAATTGGAGAATCCTGTAGTCAAGTAGCCAATTTAATCTGTTTCCCCGATTTCTTGTTTGTAGGACACTAATAACTTTCTATTTCTAAATTACTCTTTGGGGGACAGGCTATTCTAATCAGTTCCTTCAGGCTGCAGACAGAAATGTCACGGAGGCAGACAGAAAGCCCAGCTAGTTGAGCTGCATTCAATCTCCCACTTTCCTTCTACCGACATGGTCTCATATTCTCCCAAGAAAGAAAATTAAATTGGTCTGACACTGACATTATTTGTTTGCTCAGAAATCCAACTTGAATTGTTGCGCACGACCCAGGGCTCCTCGGAGTGAGGGGAAGTAATTGGCGGTGGTTCTCTTCTTTTCTCTGGTATTGCATTTGCATTGATCGATTTATATTTTCCCAGGTTAACACATATATGTCATCATCCAGACAATTGCCAAAGTGCTCTAAGTGCATTAGCTCATTCTTAACTCACAACCACCTTATGAGGAAAATGCTACTGTGTTCACGCTGTAGCCCTGGAATCGGGTGAGGGTGGAGGGGAAGGAACCTTGGAGGTTCACATAGAGTCGGGCTCAGAAGGAGGGTCAGAACCCTGCTGTTTCTTGACCCCACCTTGCTTCTCGGGGGACCTCAGTGACTTCCTCTCGTCTCTGCTTCTCTCCCTGGATCTCTACTTGTTGTTTCTTTGTCTTCAAAGAACCCCCTTCTGCCCTTGCTCTACATTTTCTGACTCCCCACCTCTGCCTCTTCTCGATCTACAGGTGTTTTTCATTTCCTTGATATTCCAATCTATACCTGGGTTTTAGTTCTTGGTAATATTGGTTCTATACCTGGGTTTTAGTTCTTAGTATTATTGGTTCAATAATAATCTACCAATTATAGTCTGAGTTTTTCTAATGAATCCAGAAAATTTTGACAGCTGTGCAAATCTCAAAGTCAACACGCTGGATACTGAAGTCATCCCGTTCTCTTCGCTCTCAATGGAAATCCTGCTCCTTTTCAGGACTGCTCGTCAATGTCAGCTCCTCAGCATAGCCTACCTAGGCTCTCCCATGCCACGTCAACTGCTCTGTCCTCTCTGGAGTCTTGGCAATGTATGGACACTTACTATTGGTCACCCACATTCGAACAATAATGCTAGTTTCTCTTGATTAAGCTTGCCAGAGGCTTTTAGGCTTTGGAAAGTGCTTTGCGTGCTTTCTTGCCTTTAATCCTCACTGTTTCCCCCCATTCTACAAATAAGGAGAAGCAAGCACAGAGAGGTTAATTAGGTGCCTCAAGGTCCCACAGCGAATGCATGACAGAGCAAGACTTAAACTCAGCTCTGATTGACTTCAAGAACTAAAATGCTAGCCATTTAAGAATGGGGTTACCTATCTTACATAATAAAACCCTAATATGCAAATTGTCCCTTGACCAGAAGCTTGACTGGGGGGCAGGAGCAACCCTGATCAATGTACCCACCTGGGCATTATAGGGCTCTTTAAGTTCACTTATTTGTTCACCAGGTAATTAATTCCATAAACACTTAAAGAATACTAGAGGCCCAGTGCATAAAATTTGTGCACGGGTAGAGTCCTCAGAGGCTGCTGGCTACCGGCCAGGGCCTCCCTTCCCGTGCTCGAAGCTTTTTTAATAAGTGTAATGGGTTTATTAAATTCTTCACCAGTTGTCTGTAGAAAACCAAAACCCAGTTGTTTGGACATTGAATAAGAAACATGAGGGAAAGAAGAACATTTGAAACTATTCCAGCAGGCATCCTTTGGCACTCAGCTGTTCTCAACTTCAAAAATTTCTATTCCAACAAGCAGTCGGGGAAAAAAATCTCTTCGAAGCAACTCCCATCTGACAGCAATGGAGTAGGATGTGGCTCACCTGGTGACATCTCCAAAAAAGGCCAGCCGCCACGTGAGGAAGAGCCTGCATTTTAAACATCCAAATGTCAGCTGATGGAAAACAGGATCTCACAATAGCCTTGCTTCGGGAGGATTGCAGCTGCAGCGAACACGGCGGCGCTCGGCCCTGGGCTCCCCAAAGGAATGGAGACAGTTTTGCATGAGTCTGAAGTGTTTTACTGCAGCAAGGGCCTCATCAGCCTTGGGGATTGGCTCTCCATGGTGGGGGGCCCACGCACCCCGAGAACTGAGACTTCACTCTGCATTATGCACGGCCCTCTAGCTCCCCGTGCGTTTGCAAGCACATGAGACGTCTCTTCCTACAGCCCACCTTCCACTCTCTCTGACGAATGACACAGGCGAGCAGCTTCCCCCAGTGGAGCAGGGTTTTCAATCACGGGGAAATTTGGAGCCTCCTGCCCTTGGTACTAAAATGATGATGCGACCATCATTCCTCACTCAACAGGGGATTTGCAAAGGGAAAAAAATTTCAGTACCAAGGTATGGTCGCGCTGTGGCAAGGGAGCCTACTGGATGTGGGTCGGCAGTGCAGCCGCCCTCTGCAGAGAGCACGGTCAGCTTGAGCTGCCTCGCTGGATGGCGCTGAAACATGGAAATGGAAACTGCGGTCTCCGGTTTGTGTTGATCAGTGATCAGTAATTGAGCAGAAGCCCCATACACTGTGTTCATTTAAAATTGAAAGACTGTGTCTCAGCCAGCATGCATCATGCATCAGTGGTTGAGTGTTGACTACGAACAAGGAAGCCACGGTTCGATTCCTGGTCAGGGCACATGCCCACGTTGTAAAACTCAATCCCCAGGGTGGGGCATGCAAGAGGCAGCCAATCAATGATTCTCTCTCATCATTGGTGTTTCTGTCTCTCCCTTCCTTCTCAGAAATCAATGAAAATATATTTTAAAAATAAAAGTAAATAAAATCTAGAGAATTTTAATATATCTAATTATGGAACATAGGATTTCATTCTCCCAAGGTGTTAAAAAATAATGGCCAGCTTTTGTTCCTCCTTCTCCCCTCCCTCCGAAGAAATAGGAAAAGGGCTCTTGGTTTTAAAGAAGACAAAGCTAGGAATCTACAGGGATCCGTTAAAATAAGCAGAGGGTGCTGGTTCAAAAATAAATACGAAAATAGAAGTTTAATGATTCCTCCAGTTACCACCTGCTGGTCCACTTCAGGATGTAACCAGCACGTCCGAACGGCTCATTAACAGCTGTCCTGTACGCACTGCGGGCCGCGTGTCAGACGCTTTTATGGATTATCCCGGTCAGCGCGCACAGCAGCCCTCTGCGGGAGAGAGCATTAGCCCCGTGCCAGGGAGGAGACGGGGTAGAGCAGGGAGCTTGCCCCCCGTCACCCAGCCAGTCCACGGCAGAGCATCCCTGTTCCTCAGCGCAGTCCGACTTCCATCTCATGCTCTCACCCCGAAGTTAGCGGAGAAGATGCAAATCTCTGCCTGCTCATTGGTGATATCTATCATGGGGCTGTTTGTTTGATGAACCAACTATACCAACAATGGTCATCGTAGCAGAGATGGCGAGAGCACATACCACCTGCCAAGCCATAAGTCAGTTTCTGTCATCTTTGCAACAACACTGTGAGGCAGGAAGCTGAGCCTCATGGAGCCTCAGCAGCTTACCTTGAGGTCACACAGGCAGCAGGTGAAAGAGCAAAGCTCCCAACCCACAGCCTGTGCCTCTGCTCTTGACCAGGGTTTTTGTGTGTGTGTGTGTATGTGTGTGTGTGTGTGTATGTGTATGTGGTTTTTTTCTTCCTCTTTTTATTAATATTTTTCATTGACATCAGAGAGGAAGGGAGAAGGGGAGAGAGAGAGAAACATCAATGATGAGAAAGAATCATGGATCAGCTGCCTCCTGCATGACCCTCTCTGGGTATCAAGCCACAACCCAGAACTTGGGACCTTTTAGTCCACACGCTAACGCTCTATCCACTGAGCCAAACCGCCTAGGGCTGTGGTCGGCAAACTCATTAATCAACAGGGCTAAATATCAACAGTACAATGATTGAAATTTCTTTGGAGAGCCACATTTTTTAAACTTAAACTTCTTCTAATGCCACTTCTTCAACATAGACTCGCCCACACCATGGTATTTTGTGGAAGAGCCACACTCAAGGGGTCAAAGAGCTGCATGTGGCTCGCAAGCCGCAGTTTGCCGACCTCAGTCATAGCACGTTGAGAGAGACCTAGTCCGTTATGTGGGTCTCTCTGCAGAGGCCCACGCTGGGTCTGTTTGGTCCTCTGTGCCCGGAAGCCGAGTTTTTAATATCTTTTTTGAACCACATACACATGTCGCTCACCTTATAAGCTAACACAGCATGTGATTTGATATGAAGCTGCCTTGAGCCAGCTGCAAAAGCCGAGCCTTGATTTCCTGACTCCGATGAGTTCTGGAATTCTACAGCGAAAGCAAAGTGGCTTCCACAGAGGGACGGAGACACTGCTTTCTCCGAGCCGATACCCTCATGGTCAGGATGTTATCGCGTGTTATGTTTCTGAGATTTTTATATTGAGTTCACGACGCCTAACTAATACACATCTAACAGCTTTTCTCTCTCTCTTTTCTCTTTCCCTAGGTATCCCCAGTATTTCCAGTATCGGTAGTAAGTAAAAAAAAAAAAATCACCAAGCAGTCTAAGCTAGCTTCGCTTTGTTGTTCTGCTCCTCAGATCTGCTTTCCCCGCCTCCATTTCTGATGAGTAATTTCTCGGTGGATTGAATGATTGGGCTCGTTTTCGGCCCAGATGTGATGACACCACGGGTGAGAGGGTTACCTGGGCAGACCCTGGGGCTCAGGCACAGCCCAGCTGCCCTTCAGTCTGATCAGTGAGGGCCGCTTCTTAGGTGCAATTCCTGGAGTCACCTGAGCTCATTTGGCCAAAAGAGGAACAGTCCTATTGACCCAACTTAGTCACCAGCAATCTGATGGAATGCTCCCCGCTAGACGAGCTTTCCACCAGCATTTAGCACAGTGGTCGGCAAACTCATTATCAATACAGCCGAATAGCAACAGTACAACGATTGACATTTCTTTGGAGAGATGTTTTAAACTTAAACATCTTCTAACGCCACTTCTTCAAAATAGACGCCTAGGCCATGGTACTTTGTGGAAGAGCCACACTCAAGGGGCCAAAGGGCCGCATATGGCTCATGAGCCGCAGTTTGCCGACCACAGATTTAGAAAATCAGAACAGACACCAGTGAATGCTTGCGCGTCCGTTAGACTCCAAGGAGAATCCCGGGAGCCAGGGGAGGGAATTGTGCTGTCCCAGCAGCGTCAGTCGTGACGAAGGCCTGAAAGAAGCAGGTTCTGATCAGGATTCATCTTTCTGGAGGAATGGAGGGAAAAACAAATCGGTCTGTCTCTCCCTCCTAAAATACCAAGGTCCAGGTTTTCTTGATGACTTAGCTTTAAGTTTGCTAAAGAAGAGGGATTAAAAACAAAACAACAAAAAATACATGCAGCATGGAGGAGCCTGGCTCCTAGAAATTTCTGCAAGAAATCTTTTCATGGAAATATAAGGAATCGAAAAGAAAATGCCCCTGGGGCCCGCAGGGGAAGTCGGTCTGATGCCCCAGCCCAGAGCCCTTCCCAGCTGTTCAGGGAAAATGGGGCGGGAGCTTTCTCATTGTGTAGGAGCCAAGGACCCCTGACATTCACCTGAAAAGCAGTAAGGACTCAGAACTTGCAGAATCGCACCCATCTTGACCCATCGCACCCTTCCTGGTGGCTCCAGCCTCTGGCTGCTGAGTAACGGGAAAGCAAGCCCCGAGGAAGAGGGCCAGGGAGGAATTCTCACAGCCGTCTCCCCTCCCTGTCCTGGGGCGGTGCAGGGTGACAGCTGCAGCGAGACCATCCCAGCATCCCATCCTTTAGGCCAGTGGTCGGCAAACTCATTAGTCTACAGAGCCAAATATCAATAGGACAACGATTGACATTTCTTTTGAGAGCCAAATTTTTTAAACTTAAACTATACAGGTAGGTACATTGTTATTAACTTAGGGTACTCCTAAGCTGGCCTTTGCTAAAATCTCAAGGGGCCGAAGAGCCACCTATGGCTCACGAGCCACAGTTTGCCAACCACGGTTTTAAGTAAAACAGCTTCCCGAGCATTCTAAATGCCAGCCAGGTGTTCCCACTCGCAACACAAACCCCCGTTTGCCGCAGCCTGGGCCCGCCCCGGCGCGAATTGGTTAAGCCGTGGCAGGGTCGGTGCCGGGTGCAGAGGGAAGGCGTGTCCTCAGCCACGGGAGGCCCCCAGCCACGCACACGCAGCGTCCTCCCGCGGCCTCATGGAGAGCGCTCGGGGCTGCCCCTTGCAGAGGAGCGGACAGGTCACAGACGCAGGCCTTGAGGTACAGCGGCAGGGACGGGCCCTCGGGTGGGTCAGCAGACACTCGTGTGCTCCTCCCAGGCCTGGTGGATTAAGCCCAATCACAGAGTTCTAGTCTGTTCTCCGGTTTCTAGCCCCATCTCCCTTTTCAGCTTCTACCTGATTCTCCACCTACTGCCGTATCTAGGACAGGGGTCGGCAAACTCGTTGGTCCACAGGGCCAAATATTCAACAGGACCACAATTGAAACTTCCTTTGAGAGCCAAATTTTTTAGACTTAAACTTCTTCTAATGCCACGTCTTCAGCATAGACTCGCCCAGACCTTGGTATTTTATGGAGGAGCCACCCTCAGGGGGCCAAAGAGCCGCATGTGGCTCGAGAGCCGCAGTTTGCAGACCACGGGATCTAGTAAATGGCTCCATCCATGATAAAGAATTGTCTGCTATTGCACTCCTAGACCCTTTATGTCTTTGGAATTCCTCCTCCTCTCCCACCCTTGCGTACGCCTTTTGCCATGAATCCTATGAATCAGATCAGCCAGTCTGTGGCTTCCCCTGACATTTGCACTGCTCCGGGGGCCTTTTGAGGGAGGCCACCCCGGGGTGCAGGGGCCACAGTGCTCAGAGTCCCCCTTTTCTGCCTGACGGTAGCCACGCCTCACGACCTGCTCCTTTCAGGCCTTGCGGGTCTCATTTGAGAGCAGACAGGGACCCCCAGGGAAGCAAGCGGAGGCGGATGGTGGAGGCCGCCGTGGCCATCGGCCGGTCTGATGTGTCAGAAATGGACGGACGGAAAGGGGGTCTCTGGGGCCGGGAGTGTTTCTGTGCGGGGCGTGCGGGGCGCGAGCTGCATGGACCTGTCACTGTGCCATCCACGGGCCATCTCATCCCGCCGCCTTCACCTCATGCCTCATTTCCGAGCATCAGCAGATGCTGACCTTTTACACACCCAATCGGGAACCCCCGTTCTGTGGGGCTTTGTTTTGATTTCAAATCGCTGGTGGCCCGAAAGGATGCTGCGTTGTGCCTTGGGGAGATGTGTTCGGCTTTATTATTGACTGGGAACATCCAGCTCCTGCATTCCCCAACCGAAACCCTCCAGCAAGTAACGTGGGCACTTGTGCCCTGCCTTCACGGGGCCTCTGGCTGTTCTCTGTGGAGTGCGGTGGGTGTTTCCTTAGATTTTTCCAGAAAACGGGATGTAAGAGCTTCCTGAGGTCACCTAACATCACGCAGGACTAGCTTGCTTGTTGCCTGGCATTCAGGTCCAGAGACGTATGATAGCCCATCAGACATGATTATATCTCTGCTCCAGGCTGCTTTAGTGGCATCCTCATGGTTCCTTTGTGGGCTCAGAAGGCATCCTGCTGGATTCCTTTCCTCTCTGGGGCAGGACTTCATTCTAGATGACTCACTGCCCGTTCGAGAGGGCACAGGAAGGGGGATTCCAGGTACAAACCTTGGCCAGGGCTGTTCCCTTTATCCCACAGAAGGAATCAATGACCATAGTTCCACCAAGTATATACAGAAAGATGCCCTCACCCTCAGGAGACCCTTCATCTAAGTGCATCTCAAGGAACACGAATGATGTCTATTATCGACGTAAATTATTAATGTATATAACCATAAGTTCACATACATACAAGGGCTGAAGATGTGGGAGCCCTGATAGATGTCAGTAAAGATCTCGAACTACCAATACCTGTATTAAGTCAGGTTCAAATGCATGGACAGAGTGGTCATCCTTTCTGATCATCTGCTAAACGTGTTTGAAACAAATTTCCCATGAAGGTCATTGGTAGCTGCTGCTGTCTCTCCATGAGCAAGTAGGTTGTCCAGTCATCCCCAAAGGTTGTTGATTTCTCAAAACTCAGTCATTTCCGTGTACGTGGGCCACCGCTGAAGAAAATACTGGTGATGTTGTCAGCAATGAATGAATCCCAAAATAGATCATCCCCAGGAGCCCTGGTTACCTGAGGGGGTAGTAATTCATTCAGGTTTTTCTTTTTTTTCTCTTAATGTATTATGCCCGGATAAGCAAACTCACGATTCATTCAAGTGAACATTTGTTGATGCTGTTGATCCAAACTAATAGTTGGTTTGGTGTGGGCATCTCTGTTAAGGTGGCAAACTAATTGTTACCTCCTAACATATATTATCTGGTCCTTCATCCTGAAAAGCAAGTGATTTCGCTAATTATGTGGAAATGGCTCTTAGAAAGAACATAATTAGAGCAGCAAGCATTGGCCTCAGGTGCAGATGGGTTTGTGTGGGTGATTATCACCTTAAAAAGGGATGAGATGAGTCGGAGGTTAAAGTTAGACCATCCGTTGAAACGAAAGATCATGTCGGAAAAACACCATTTCAGAAAACTTGGAATTTTTTTTTTTAATAAATCCAAGTATTTCTTTGAAAAGCAACAGAAGAAGAGAGAGGGGGACTTTCTGGGAACCCAAGTAAACACGACTGCCTTAAATGACTTTCAGATGACTGGCATGAAAAGCATAGGATGTGGGTGCAGGTGTTTGGCCATCCCCTCCTCTCCAACACGTTCAATTCCAGGCAGTCCTTCACGTAAGGGAAATAGTTCCATTTTCCTGTTTGCTCTCACAATGGGCATCGCCTTCATCACAGAGTCAAACTCCACCTATAATTTGATGTAATCGGCAGGACCAGTAAACAAGGAAAGTGTCACCTACAGGGGTCCATCAGCTGGTTGGGAAAGCCTAGACCAGTGGTAGGCAAACTCATTAGTCAATGGAGCAACGATTGAAATTTCTTTTGAGAGCCACATTTTTTAAAACTTAAACTATATAGGTAGGTGCATTGTTATTAACTTAATTAGGGTACTTCTAAGCTGGCCTTTGCTAAAAATGTCCTCAATCTGATTGAGGCATGTAGCTCTCGAGCCACAGTTTGCCGACCACTGGCCTAGACCTGTTTTCATACTTGAAGGCCTTAGAGCTGGAGACCTTGTCAAAGTTGTTCTCCATGCAGCATCCAAACATTTCTGTTTGATACCGATGTACAGAGGAAGCCTGGATCGTGAGGAGAATCACAAGGTCAGCCCCGTCCCCGCCCGAGGTTATTAGCGGCAGTGTTCATGCTACGCAGAGAGCAGCCTTGTTTGCCTTCCCCCTTTGCTTTAATACTCCTAAATCCCTCAAATAAAAGTTTCATCTGAATTGCCCTTTAACTAATTAGGTTTTATATAACGAGGTGGGGGAAGGCTCAGGCCGGCGTAGCTCTGCGACAAAGCTGCATTCATT